CTTTCTCCAAAAAATATTATCAGAGATACTCAAAGGGGGGCTAATAATTCTTGCTTCAACTGTATATATACATAACACTAGTAGCAGTGCGATATAGCTGTATATCTGCACTGGTGGGATACTCGTGGTTGGCTTGAGGCCACAGACTGAATGTCTCAGTGTCCCTCCAGTGATGATATACAGCCATATTGCACTGCTAGGAGTGTGAAATTGTGTTTATACAACAATTAGATGGCATAATCCTGGAAATAAAAAAGAAAATCAAATACAGAGAGTCTAAAAAACCTTTTCTTCCACTGTTCATTCAGTAGAAACTGTTGCCAGTTAACAAACATCACTTTAGAGCTAGTATTTGAATGTTTCTAGCTTAATATCTAAAGTGATGTCAAAACACATTTTTTTGCTTAAATTTTAGTGTAATTAACCTTGAAAAAACCTGGGTGAGTCCACCACTCCATCCCTAGTCTCTGCATGTTGGTGGGGTTAAGGAAATCAAAGTATTCCTTTCACCGTCTGACAACCACCCCAGTCGAGGTCTACAGCTACCCACTTCCACTGTAAACAGAGTCGATGTGGAGATGCTTTCCCCTAGTGATGCTCCGATTGATCAGCCACTGATCACGATCGGCCGATATTGGCTAAAAATAGCTTGATCGGCTAACCCCAAAAGCGCAGATCAAAAAAAGCAGATCACTTGACGTAAATTACTCGCATGACTTTTTCACACGTGCATGCACGGTGCACAGGTAAACAACAGCAGAGCAAAGAGCAGAGCTTACCAGTGGCAACATGAGTTCCCCCGTCTATTTCAAAGTGTCCAATAAAAATGTAAAGTTAGAAGTTTGCGATGTATGTCGTGAAAAAGTCCCTTGAGGTGGAAGCAAGCAATGGCATTTTAACACCACTAACATGAAATAGGCATTAGAATATGCCATACAGCTGATTATGCTGAGTATGGGAAGTATGATTAAACGGCGTGAACCATGCAGCACGGATAGTACGAGGTGGAAAGACATCGGGTTCAAAATCAGAATCATGGAATTATTTTGAATCGACAAACAACCTGTGATATATAGAGTGCAGACGCCTGTCCAATGTCCCTGCTAAGCTTAACAGCACACTTTATTGACTCAAACTTCGAAAGACACAACATTGCGCTACACTGTCAGGATTTTACAGGGTCACATTCTGCGGAGGGTTTAGTGAACGCATTTAGCGGCATGTTACAGTCACGGGGGATCCATAGAGTAAACAATTCATGCGATATTAACAGACAACGCCAAAAACATGCAGAAAACAATGAGAGACGCAGATTTCCCTGGCCTGCTGTGTGTGTGTGTGTGTGTGTGTGTGTGTGTGTGTGTGTGTGTGTGTGTGTGTGTGTGTGTGTGTGTGTGTGTGTCAAGCTGTTTTGACATTTAATCTATAAACCGTACTATATATTTTCATGTCACTTGTGCTTTTATGTTAGATACTAGCATCTTTTCCATTAAGTACTAGTACTTATTCATTAGATACTAGCCTAGTGCCTATTCTTTAGATACTAGTGCTTTTTAAAAATATACTAGTGCTTACTCATTAGACACTAGTTCATTTTATTAGAGACCAGTCCTTATTCATTAGATACTAATACCTATTAAATAGATACAAGTACTTATTCATTAGATAGTACTTATTAATTAGATACTCGTACTTATTAAGATGCTAGTTTTTATTTATTAGACACTAGTACTTATTTTAAATGCGACTAGTAACTATTCTGTTGTTACAAGATGTAAAATTTGTCTTGATTCCTTTGGGATTTGTCATTGAGATATCAAATTCAGTTCTGACTAGTATGTACTCCAGCTGGGACTGGTACATATTTGTATGTACTGCTAGTTAATCATTAGGTACTGGTACTTAATAATTAGATACTAGTATGTATTTAATAGGTGCTAGTACTCATTTATTAGATACTAGTTTATCTGGTTGTTCCTCCTTGTTTCTCTGTCTTGCTATTTAGAAAGGAAGGCATTGGCTTACAGTAGCTTACTACATTATTTCATTTTTTAGGATCTGATGTAGTTGGTTTCTAGTTCATAATAATTACAGAAAAAAAAAAAAAAAAACATTTGCCATAGTTTTATTCTTTGTGGCAGTAGCCAGTTTTGGTGTAGTTTTACATTTTTGCTGCCAATTATAAAATGTAATCAGTGTATTAAGAGGCTACATGCAATTAAACTGATCTGATGTGTGTTGGTCTGCCTGACCCCTCTTTATTTGGAATAATTTTAAGTTATACTAACTAAATAAGTTAGCCTTATTTAGGAAAGATGGCCTACAATAGTCTTAAGTTCTCAGTTTCTAAAATAAACACTTGTTGGACAAGATCTTGACAAGATCTTGTCTGTAGCCTTTCTACAGTTTTTTTTTCAATATAGTTAATTGAGAGTAAATTCATTTCTACAAAAGGTGCAAACTCTGCTAGATTATAGATAAAAGATTCCCATTCCCCTGCCATTATGTGATCGGCCATGATCGCCAATCCGTAGATCATGATTTTTGTGATCGGTGATCGGCCTCAAAAATGCTGATCTGAGCATCTCTGCTTTCCCCTCCTGAGGCACCGGACAGTTTGCCAGAATTTCTGAGGCCGACCGGTAGTCTTTCTCCATAGTCTCCCCGAACTCTTCCCAGGCTGCAGCTCGCTTGGCCTGTCGGTACCCATCAGCTGCCTTGGGAGTCCTGCAAGCCAACCAGCCCCTGTAGAACTCCTTCAGCTTGACGACAACCCTTACTTTCGGTGTCCACCACCGGGTTCATAGATTGCTGCCCAGAGAGGCACCAAAGTCCTTGCGGCCACAGCTCCTCACGGCCACGTTAACAATTGAGTCAGAGAACATGGACCACTCATTCTCCAATGTCTCCAGCCTCCCTCTGGATCGGGTCAAAGCTCTTGCGGAGGAGAGAGTTGAAAATCCATCTGACTTCAGATTTAGCCAGACGCTTCCAGAGGACCCTCACAATATGCATGGGCCTGCCAGTTCTGTCCAGCTTTGCCCCTTGCCAGCAGATCCAACTCACCCTCAGGTGGTGATCAGTTGACAGCTCTGCCCCTCTCTTTACCTGAGAATCCAAGACATACGGTCGGAGATCAGATGATACAACCACAAAGTCGATCATTGACCTCCATCCTAGGGTGTCCTGGTGCTATGTGCACTGATGGACACCCTTATACTTGAACATGGTGTTTGTTATGGACAAACTGTGATTTGGCACAGAAGTCCCATAACAAAATACCTCTCTGATTCAGATCAAGGAGGCCATTTCTCCCAATCACGCCTCTCCAAGTATCACTGTCATTACCCACGTGGGCACTGAAGTCTCCCAGACTCCATTGGAGTCCTCAGTCTGAGCACTTTATAGCACCCCTACCAAGGACACCAAGAGGCCGGGTACTCTGCACTAGTATTTGGCCCATAGGCACTAAAAACCTGAAGGTGCAAGGAGGTGACCCTCTTGTTAACTGGGGAAAACTCCAACTAAGTTGGGGAGCTAAGTTGGGGAGCTAAAAGCAAGCCCACACCAGCCCGTCGCCTCTCACCGTGAGCAACTCTAGAGTAGATGAAAGTCCAGCCCTTCTCAAGAAGTTGAGTTCCAGAGCCACAGCTGTGCTTGGAGGTGAGCCCAACTATCTCTAGTTGGTACCGTTTCATCGCACAAACTCTGGCTCCATCCCTCACAGTGAGGTGACATTCCATGTCCCAAGAGCCAGTTTCTGTGCCTGACGATTGGGTTCTCGTGGTCCTAACCTTTGACCACCACTCATTGCACAATGCACCGGCCCCTTTGCAGAGTACCTGTGGGGTCTTAAATTTAATAATCTCAAATTAAGGCCTTAATAGCCTTGGATTTAGTATATAAAGTCTTGGATTTTATTACAAATGTCTTATTTTATTAAATTATTTTTGCCATTTCCTAGGATTATGGTTATACTGTAACAAAATTAACTGTTACTAATATAGTGCTCCATTTCATAGCAGATAGCGTGCGCAACCATTACTATGGTTACTAGGCAAGTGAGGTACAGAACAAGATAGTTGCTAGCCTAGTTTATCAGCTAAAATGGGTGTCGGTTTAATCTGCTGTGGCCAAAGAATCTGAATTACGTTTGAGTCAAGCCTGTGCCAGAAAATGACTGCGATGTTTACTGGTATTGGTACTGCAAATCTTTTAAGCTAGTGACGATGGGTGTTACGGCCCTGGACTCCCATATGAGGGGTGCCAAACATACCACGTGTAGTACTGCTCGCCAGTTTGTGCACCAGAGACCTCTTCGGTTACTGAAACAGCTTTGGCTATCAGTAATGAAGAAATTTCTACATTAGACACATTGCCACCACAGCCAATGAACATCCTATCTTACTGTAGCTCAACACTAGGGCTGCACCAATGAATCGATTAAATACATAAAAATTGATTTCTAAAAGCATTGACAGTTTTTATAATTGTTTTGTTGTATCGCGCGACACTGAGACCTTTGATTTTAAAAAAAAAATTATTAAAAAGTAACACTTTAGCTCAGCGTGGAGTGGAGTGAACGCGGACTCTCCGTTTCTCGTGCACTGATACAAAGTTCAGCGCCTCAAAATAGACAGGGATGATGCGGAAGAATCTCTACAGAATCCTACTTTTGTTTCCATTTTGAAGTAAGAACCGTGAAGTCCCTGGTGCTGGTGTTTTGTGTCTGGGGCTGAGCCAGAGAAAGGCAGCAGGGTTAAGTTGGTTTTGTTTTCGATATTCCTAACACATTCAGTGATAGACGACATTAACTCCAAAAACTATTGCCAACAGCAACTTGAGTGTGTAAATCTCCTTTTGTGGTCATTAGTCTAATTGTTTATCTTCTTAGTTCTCCATCTATTGAAAAAAAGATACACATTTATTATAATCTAATGATTGCATTTGTTGACCCTTTAAACTTTTAACAGTCTTGATTATGTATAATTACGCTTCAGAGTATCCTGGCCTTGAACCCGAGGGTGAAGAGCCATGCAAATGTCCATTCCACTGCCTCAAAGAAGAATGAGAAGAAGCACTGGAAGAGAAACCCTGAGAGGAGCTGTGATGTGAGTATTAATAGTAACAAACACCTTTTATAAATATTATAACTAATATTTTTTTACAATTTAGGAATATTAGGATTTTTTTATTTAAACACTTTATTTAACTTACCAACATAAACATCTGTAAATCTGTACGATGTGAATAATGTGAAGGTGTGAAAACCTCCAAACTCTGTAAAACAAACCTAATTATAATAATCAAATCTGATTAATATAATTATTTAATCTTATTCAAATACATACTACAACTTTACAAATTGTGAAGTTGAATGACTACATTTCCACTATTCTGAAAAATTTTTATGATGGCGTGCTAGTGGCTATGATGCACATTAAAAGAAACCAAAAAGCCACTCTGACGACATCCTTACACCCTTTTTTTATTCACAATCTCCTCACTGCTGCACTCATTTTCACGTCTGTTGTTATTCTGACCTGAAGTGACAAACACCATGTGCGCGTCGTGCAAGTTGTGTGCCTTCATTAAAAAAATGACAAAATTACACCCTAAGCTTTTTAACATTCCTTCGGAGACACTTCATACCAAAATATTTTAATTGTTAATGACAATGGGGGTCGGTCAATAAATATCGATACTGATTTTATCGCCCAGCCCTAATGCTTGCTATTTAATTTAATTTAATTTAATTTAATTTTTAAAAAGTCTATTTTAATGGATGTCAAAATGCTCCTATGCATGCCATTTGAATTATGCTGGAGGCCTTACTAGTTTTTCTGCTCTTCGCCATTGATGACCGATTAACTAATCCACTTGTCAAGTGTGACATCACGCAAAGCGGCTTCCGAGTTCAAGCACCATATCAAACTGTATGAGAAGACTCAACAAGTGGTAATAATAAACGTTTACAAAGCAATGTAATACTTTCGAAAATCACAATGTTCATATAAAAGTGCCTATTATCAGATAGCCAGAAAGTGATTATTTGTTAAAATTTTGTTGTCTGAGATGCAGCAGGTTCAGAGACTTGTGTTTTTATACAAGACACCATGATTTTATATAAAATTCACTTTTTTGTGTGATATGGCTAAAAAGTGATCATACATTTTCTCAATTCAAATAAGTAGCAGCTTGAACCCAGAAACAGTATTTCATATGCCACCGATACGTCGCCACTTAACAAGCGGATGGGTTGATAAGGCTTCATGTAAATCACGCAGATGATCTCATAACCTGTCAGTTCACATTCTATAGAGAGTAAACATCGAGGACTATGGATATGTTTTATGCAGTTGTTAAAGAGAGCAGTATCTAGCACAAAGTTTATTCTGCTTTTAACAGAAAGTGTGTGTTAATGTAGTATATAATATTGACACCAAACATTGTACCTTTTATTTATAGGGCCAAAGCTTAGACTCCTCCATCAAGGTTGTCAATAACCACAAATGCTCCTGACTGATCATTATTTAAATTAATGATCAACTGACATGACAGCATGTGTAAATGGCATCCAAAACACAGGCGTCCTCACCGAAGCAAAATGTTTTTTGGCTAGTTGGATCATCAATATATTTTTTGTTTATTGTTTGTTTGTTTGTTTGTTTATTATAATAACTTAATGACAAAATGTAATGATTGATATAGCATTATCTCAAATGAACACACTGGCAGCTGGTACATGTGTGTGTTCATGTAAGCAAATAGATGAAGGGTTAAAGGTCCAAATTGCAGTTTCAATGTAGCTTAAAATGGCTCAATATAATGAAATCAAGGAATAATGGTCTTATCTAGTAAAACAATAACATAGAAAATGAATTACCCAATGGCCAACATTTTTTTTTTTTTTTTTTTTTCTTCTCTCTCCTTGTTCCGCTTCCTATATTATAGCACACTGCCTCATTGTACACGGGAGGTGCTAGTGAGTCAATATGCATTCCCTTACTGTTTGCTAATGCTTCAGCTCTGTTCAAACTGAAACTGGCTTTTTTTTTCACACAGAAGGGTTCTATACATCCCTAATGTTGAGAATGACTTGATAAGGAAACAAACTGCACAGACTTGATTTTGCAATGCATGGACATGTCTCATAACTAATCCTTAAACAACGCCTGTGCTTGATTGACTCTGATAAGATTATTGACAATTAATCGATCATCGCATAACCATTTGCATCTCTTCTTCCAACCTTAAATAAATCATTATGCACAGATGTTGCAGGTTTATTCAAAGACGAGACTGCTTCAGTGCTCGCACTTAGTTTCAACTGGGAAATGAAATTTATACTATCAAAAGAACCAACTGCAATTTGTTTCACTATTTGTAAATTCACATTTTTTTTTGGTGGGATTAACGGAAATGGATGAATCACCCTTTTGACAAGCGTCTGCACCTATAGGAAGAGGGAAACTAATGTTGTGTTCACAACAAATGTGAATGTAAGTAATTGTGTGGGTAGATTGCATACAAAGTCAATGCAAACTAAGAACGAGCCACGATTCTGATGGTATAATAACCTTGGATAAAAACATTATGGTATGTCGGCGCTAGTGGTGTAGTGGTTAATGCGTCGACACATGCACTCCGCTGCTCGCGGCAACCAGAGTTCGATTCCGCCTTGCGGTCCTATGCCGGTCCTTCCCCTCTCTCTGCTCCCCATGCTTTCCTGTCGATGATCTATACTGTCCTATCAAAAATAAAGGTGAAAACCCCCAAAAAATAATTTATTAAAAAAAAATATATAAATATTATGGTATTGTGATTACTGCTTTAAAATACACTCACCGACCACTATTAAGTTCACCTGTCCAACTGCTCATTAATGCACATTTCTAATCGGCCAATCACATGGCAGCAACTCAATGCATTTAGGCATAAAGACATGAGCTGCGTCCCAAATCGCATACTTATGCACTATTCTAGTATTCAAGTATTATCTGATAATTCGGTCATTTATTTCACGGATTTGGCAACCGTCAAACGTCATCAGAGAAATGGTTTGAATTTCCGCTTGCCATTTGGGATGACACTACATACATGTACTATCCTGTTGAGTGTGTTAGTGCATAAGTACATAGTGCATAGTGTATAGTGTATAGTGTGCCATTTGGGACGCAGCTATGGTGTAAACGATCTATTGCAGTTCAAACCAAGCATCTGAGTGGGGAAGAAAGGTGATTTTAAGAAACTTGAAACATGGCATAGTTGTTCAGGCTAGTGGTGGTGGTGTAATGGTGTGAAGGATATGCTCTTAGCACTATTTGTCCCTATTAGTACTGTACCAATTGAGCATGGTGTCAACGCCACAGCCTACCAGGAGATTTTGTTCTTCTCTCAGATTATATCCCCCTTGTCGTTTTTCAAAAAAAAAAACTTTTGTATACATTTCTGAAGTAATTTATACCTTGCTTTTAACATTTAATTGTGTTAAACATTACCAAAACATTAAACTTAAGTATCTTCAATTTACAAAAAAAAGAACTTGTATGCTCCAAATACCCCATCGTTTTAATAATTTTCTTCTGTATTGTGCATAAGAATTGTAAGTTAGATTCATACAGTTAAAGTCAGAATTATTAGTTCCCTTTGAATTTTCTTTTTAAAATATTTGGCAAATCATGGAGAAGGGTCTGGCTGGAGAGTTGAACTTGCATCTTCAGGCTTGCACTCTCGGGCTTGCACGCCCAGGCACCCATGCTTCCTTTGCAAGTGATGTCATTTACAATCAACACCTGCACCTGTCATGTCACTTGAAATCAACACACAAACCAAAAGTAGTTTCCAGTTCGCTTGCGTTGACAGTGACGACAATGTCAAATTATTCTAAGTAGCCTACTTGCGTTGTACAACATGACAGACCCCCCAGTCCCCGAAAAGCAGTTCATCATATGATTACATGCTTTGATGTAAATTTAAGCAGGCTACTATTAACATTCATACCAGCATAGCTTATTGTTTGTATCAACTAAATATCATTCTAAATATGCACACAAGGTATTCTTCCACAGTTATGAATAAAAAAACACCAGGCAAATTAGAATTTTAGTTTTTATTTTAAACATTTTAAGGAGTTGTAGTATTACAACTAACAGATACACATTATGGACTTACAGCAATGATTCTTGAACGAATTGGGGAAACTATTCTTTATAACTTTTCTTGATAAGTTAGCATGTCTGCGCTGTAATGCATCCATATGAAATCAGTTGCAGCGCTGCTTCAACAGTCTGCATGATCCCATCTCAGTGTTATAGGTCCTCCAAACATAATGTTGATATCGACTCGATAAGGGAACGTCTTGACTCGCTTGACGGAAAGAAAGCGCCACAGATGATGTGTAACTTTTACTGCAGAGCTGTTGTAAGGAAAGCATTTGTGGTTCGTTACGATTTGTTTACGTAACTATAGCAACTGTGGCACCCGTTGCCGTATGTTGCCAGAGAAACTACAGTGAAACTCTTAGAGAAAATAATGTCACTTGAGTAAGGTTGACATTTGTTGCAACGATCTTAATAAAATTTGTTACCTCAATTTTTTCTGCCTCAGGGACTCCCTTAAGTTAAATTATCGTTAAATTAATTGTAAATGATGCCACTTAGTCCGAGCAAGTCCGAGCATGCAAGCCTGGAGGTGCAAGTGCAAATCTGCAACCAGTCTATTGTGGAATGATGTTTAACAGAGCAAGGACATTTTTACAGTATGTCTGATAATGTTTTATCTTATTTGTTTTATTTTGGCTAGAATAAAAGTAGTTTTAATTTTTTTTTATAAACATCAAGGCCAAAATTATTAGTCCCTTTAAGCTATATTTTTTCAAGCCATTGTTTTAAAATAACTTGCCTAATTTCCCTAACCTGCCTAGTTAACCTAGTTAACCCTTTAAATGCAACTTTAAGCTGAATAGAAGTGTGTTGAAAAAGAATATAGTCAAATATTATTTACTGTCATCATGACAGATAAATCAGTTATTAAAAATTAGCTATTAAAACTCTAATGTTTGAAATGTGTGAATTTGTGTAGTGTTTGCTGCGAACAAAGAATTAAACTC